CCTACCCCCCAACCCCCCACTGATAAGAGAGCTATCATTAGCCCATGGCTTAGAAAGGTTAAGAACTTGCCAAGGTCACAGGTAAACTGCAGAGCCAGAAACCAAATCCCAGGCCTTATCTCCTCATTATTTCATCCTGCCTTGTTAAGTAATCCACCCCACTGCCTTCAGGCACAGAAGGTGAGCTCCTGCCACCAAAGGTCACACAGCTGATGGTGACAGAGCCATGTCATCATCCAATGCTCAGCCACCAGGAGGGTGAGCAACACTGGCCTTCAGTGCTGACTCTGGGGACCAGGCTCCAGGCCCAGACACCAGGCACCAATATTTCTGCAGGAAATAACTCAGGTGCCGAGGCGTCTTTTATAGATATTCCTGCTGATTGTTAGAAAGGAAGGGAGAAGTAGAGAGAAACATCGATGTGAGAGTGGAATATCAATTGCGCTGCCTCCTGCGTGGCCCTACTGGGGATCCAGGCTGCAACCACAACCCAGGCATGTGCCCTGACCAGGAATGGAACCTGTGACCTCTTGGTGCATGGAATGACACTCAACCAACTGAGACACACCGACCAGGGCAGGTGTCATGACTTCTAAATCTTCTAGCTGGTCCATGAGACAAAGGCTGGGGAGCTTCTTAACCCCAAAAATCTGGGGATGGTCTTCTGGGGTCCTAAACTCTCTTCCTCTTTTTATACATCCAGTCAGCCCGAAAGTTCTCTCGATTCCAGAAGATCTGGAATCGAGATCTTCCCTAGTTCACCCCTACTTAATGTCTTCCAATGATTCCTGTTATGCCAGAGAGAACTTCAGGGCTCCTGGCAACCCTCTTGCTCACCCCTCTCCAGCCACGCCAACCCCCTAGCTATTCCTTAAACAAATTAAAGAATTTCCCCACCTCAGCAGCCTTTGCACTTGCTCTTTCTTCTCCCTGGCTGTTTGTATTCCAACACCTTTTCATCACTCAGGTCCTAGTTCATATATCCCCTGCTCAGGAAGTCCAATCCTGACCACCGTCCCCCACCCCAAATCTAGTGACTATCCTATGACCCTGTTTAATTGCCTTCACAGCAGGTGTTCCAGTTCAAAGTATCCTGTTCATGTTTTCTTTCTTATGATGAGGTCTTGCTGCTGTAGCAGTGACTTTCAATGATATTTTTTATGTGACCGATAGTAAAATGAATTTCACATGTGGCCCAGCCATTCAGGTGTCATGGCTGTGTAACAAATTACCCCCAAATTTACTGGCTTTAAACAATGACATTTATCTTGCTCACAGATTTGCAGTTTGAGCAGGGCTTGATGGGGACAACTCATTTTTGCTCCTCTTGGTGTCAGCTGAGATGGCCTGAAGGCTGGGAGTTGGAATCATTTCAATATTCACTCACTTGTCTGGTGCTTCATGTTGGCTTATCTGGGACCTTCACATTGCCTGGGCTGAGAGCACCCCAAAACTGAGAGAGAGCTATCACCAGGCAAAGGATGTATCCTAGTTTCTGACCTATGCTTGGAAGTTGCACAGTGTCCCTTCTGCCACATGCTATTTGTTGCACAAAGTCCTGCTCATGTTAAAGAGGAAAGGAGTTAGAGCAGCCATGGGCAAACTACGGCTCGCGGGTCGGATCCGGCCCGTTTGAAATGAGTAAAACTAAAAAAAAAAAAAAGACCATACCCTTTTATGTAATGATGTTTACTTTGAATTTATATTAGTTCACACAAACACTCCATCCATGCTTTTGTTCCGGCCCTCCGGTCCAGTTTAAGAACCCATTGTGGCCCTCGAGTCAAAAAGTTTGCCCACCCCTGAGTTAGAGTCTAGCTTTTGATGGGGAGTGACAAGGTTGGAACTATGGTATTTCTGTAGTCATTTTTCAAAAATACAACTGCCACACCCAGGACACAAATGCAGAATTTGGAGTGTCCCCAAACAATACAAGTACTTAACTAACCTTCCATACACAATGCACTGAATTTTTCCATTACATTTTGTAGAAACGGCTGCTTTTATTTCTTCACCTCAGTTTGAGGAACATGTCACAAGTGTGCAGTTTGTCTTTCCTCTACTGTTTGGTGCGTTAAGCACCTCACCAGCTAGCACTTCATATGTGTTTTTTAAATATATTTTATTGATTTTTTACAGAGAGGAAGGGAGAAGGTGAGGGATAGAGAGTTAGAAACATCGATTCAGTTGCCTCCTGCACACTCCCCACTGGGGATGTGCCCACAACCAAGGCACATGCCCCCGACCGGAATCGAACCTGGGACCCCTCAGTCCGCAGGCCGACGCTCCATCCACTGAGCCAAACCAGTCAGGGCTCATATGTTTTATTTAACACCTCTATGGTTCCTATTGAGTCACAGAGATCATCCTCATGTAATCTCACGCCAACACTGAAGCAAGTACAATGATGATCTTCATTTTATTGAGAAGGAAAGTGAGGCACAGAGGGATGGAATTATGTGCCCAAGATAACACAGCTGGTTAGTAGCAAAGCTGGGATTGGAATCCAATAAATCTGGTTGTAGACTCCATCTTGCTATGCAGCCACTTACAGAATTTCCTTATTTATTGTGAGTCTCCCGCGCACACTGTAAACCTCAGATCCACTAGAAGCAACTCCCTGCTTGGCCCCTAGAACGCCGCCCTGCCTGCTGCAGGTGCTCCAACTAAGCAGGTATCAACAGCTTCAAGCTCTAGCAGCCGCTTTCCTGTCTGCGCAGGCGCATCAGGTAGGCCCTGGAGGCACCCCCCACCCGGCCTGCGTCGATTGGCCATCGCCAATGACGGACGCAGGACCCGGCGCAGGCGTACTAGGCCAGACCAGAGGGGCGTCCCCCATTGTTAATGACTGGCGGAGGATCAAGCCAATAGGAATGGGTCTCTTCAGGAAGGGGGCGGACCCAGCAAGCAGTTAAATTTGCGCGGGATGGGCGCTCGCGCAGTCATGGCGGCCTTCCGCGACATGGAGGAGTTGTGCCAGGGGCTGCTGAGCCTCCTGGGCGCCAACCA